CCGCCCCCCCCAGCTAGGGCCAGCGCCGAATCACCTGTAGAGCAGGTAGCTCTGGAAGTCATCGGCCTTCTTCAGCAGGTAGCGGAGCTGTTCAGTGACCGGGCTCAACATGGTTTCCAGAGGTAGGCGAGCGGGGGCCGGGCCTGGGCCCGGAATTAGGGGCTCGGGGGAGGACGTGGAGGCAGGGGCCTCAGACACCGGCCCCTGAACGTCCTCTGGCTCCATCGCCAGCTCCGCAGGGTCCGCAGGCCCGCCAGGGGACATGGACCACGAGGGGCCTCCGCAGGGCCGCGCTCCGGGCTCCAAGTCCTCGGGGGGTGGTGTTTCTCCGGGGCCCCGGGGTAGCGGCCCCGCGAACCACTGCTCTGTGGCCATCGTGGGGTGGGAGCTCTTTAAGGCCCTCGCCACGCACGTTGGCCGGGGGTTCGACCCCGCCCCAGGGGCCCTGGGAGTCTCCCCGAGTCTGGGATTGCCTGGGTCGAGAGCCGCCCTGTCGACTGGGACTCGCCGGGGCCTCGACCTCTCTCGGCCAGCGGCCAGCGGCGCGCCGCGTCAGGGGAGTTCGCTTCATTTGAATTTCAACCCGCGGGAGGGGCGCGCAGCTCCCGGCCCTCCTGGGCGCGTTGCGCGTCCGCGGGGCGTCCCCGCGCACACGCGCGCTCCCCGCACTGGCGGGCCACCTGGGCCAGCGCTGGGCGGCCCTGTCCTGACAGGGGCGTGGCTCAGGCAGTTTCCCAGAGAGGCTCTCTAACTTGCATCCAGATCCCTGGCCCAAGTGTCAAGGATGACAAGACCCCACCCCAGATACAGACTTCCTTGTAATTTTGAACCGCTAATGGAGGAACTGCCTGAGAACTTAGCCTTGACGTGTGAAGTATTAGCTATTACTAACAATTATAATAAAATCTTCACTTGACACTTGGCCCAATCTTATCTGTCCTCTTGTGCAGCAGCCATAAGGCTCCACCGGTGTCCCAGAACGAGCCCCCGATACACATACCCTGACTGCATTCTCCATAGTGCACAGTGACCGGAGAGGCACCTTGGTATGAAGTCGAATGCATTCATTTAACTTAATTAGAAGCCTCTGTGCATAGAACTCAGGTGCCCCGGGAGATGCAGTTTGCTCTGTTACTGACCAGCCAGTGGTGCCATGGAAGAAAGGCCTGGCACACTGATTACAGCCGTCAGAAGACCCCACGGAGTGCAGCTCTACTCAGACACCCTACAAGGTCAGGGCCAGTGAGTCAGACAATAGGCTTGGTTTTTGTGTCTGGGGTGGTGGCCTCATCTGAAATGGGTTTTCTCTGAGCTCCCTGCGGGGAGGCTGATGAAGACAAGGCTTAAGTCTACCACTCATCACTCAATAAGCACGTTCGCAATGACTGTCACTATCCGGACATGAGGAAAGCAAGCAGTGTGTCAGGCGCTACCCAGACAGGGAAAGAGTTAACCCCCCTGTCCTTCTGGACCCAGGCACTCGATTCCAACTCAGCGACCATTTAGGGCCAAACTCCTTTGGGTTTTAGAGGTAGTGGCTCTGCAGCCCAAATCGAACAGCTCCTTTTAGGTTTCTGAAACTCGACATTGTTTCCAGAGTAAGCAGCCAGCCATCTTTCATTCTCAGAGCCCACCAGGGCTCATCTGCCCTGCCAACGTTTCTGCTCTTACCCTAGGCTTTGCTCTCCTCCCCTCCCAACCCATTCATGACACGCAACACCCTGGCATTGTTTTCTTTTCCTTTAAAATTTTATTTAAAAAACCTTCGGTGCAATATTAAAAAGCAAGACAGCAACCTGGAGCGGACAACCGACAGAGGGTTGGGGGTGGGGAAGACCCAAGACCCCACCCCAGCTGCTCACAAGAGCCTAGAGGCCAGGAGACTGGGGAGGGGCAGGGGTGGTGGGGGAGGGAGGAAAGGTCACCCACCCACCACAATGAACAGGCAGAAGAAAATATTTATTTAGGAAACATCTGGCTGAACGGAATAGGATCTTGGGGAGATAGGAAGACCCCACTTCTTCTTTCCTCATAAATGTCCTGGGTTGGGGGTGGGGCTGGCCTCTCAGGATGAACTAACTGGGCAGGCCCTGACCCCACCTCATACCCAAACTGAGTCCGAGATGTGCTGGGGCAGATGTGGGGGTATGGGTGGGAGGATGGGGGCACAGGAAGATAGATGAGTAGGGAGTCCCCATCCAGAAACTCCTGGACTCCAGGAGGGCTTGGGGTGGGAGGGGCTGGAATGGGTCAGGGGCAGGGCAAGGCTGGGCGCTCAGCCTAGAAAGCCATCGGGGTCGTCATCTTCAAAGTGGCCTTGCTGCAGCACCTTGATGTGGTGCTCATAGATTTTCAGGGCAGGGCCAAGGCGGATGGATAGGCCGGTGAGCACGTCCGTGCGCTGCATGAGCAGCAGAGATTTGCCGTCGATTTCCTGGTTGGGGGAGCGAGAGAGACAAAGCTGGGTGAGGGCAGGGTACCCTGGAGGCTGTTAGAAGCCCAGCACTGGGACCATTCGCTCACCTGCTCTTGAAAAGCTGTGGCCTGTTCTGGGAAGCCAGCTTCAGTGAAATACTCCACCACATCCATCACGGTCCATTCTACCGGGTCAGTGGGCTTCTCCTTGCGCCCGGAGCTGCCCAGCAAACAGAGCAGTCCCATGAGCAGTGAGGTCCACCTCTGGTTCTGCTTCTGAGAGCTCACCACCCCCACATCTCAAATATTCCAACTTACGGACAACCAAAGGGGGTCCCGTCAGTCCCAGGTAGGGCTGGCTTTCCTGGGGGCAAAGGCACGGGGGATGGAGAGTCTGGCCCAGTGGTGGCAGAGGCTGGGAAAGCAGAAGTACTATCTGTTGCTTTGTCTGGAGGCTAGGTTGTACCCCACCAGACCCTCCCCACACCCAGGCATCCTTACCTGAACCCCCTTCCTTATTCATGGCTGCCACAGAGAAGGCCTGTCGGGTGCCGCTGCCTGGTGCTGACCCCCGCCCTTCATCTTGGCCCTGGTGGGGCCCACAGGGTGTCCACTCCTTAACCCTCTCTTTGGCACTCTGAGGGCCTCGTTCGCCATTGAGCTGGTGATGCTGGGCACCCGCAGGACGGTCACCCTCGGGCACCTCAGAGCCCTCAGATACGTCATCTTCCTCCTCCTCCTCTTCCTCCTCCTCCTCCTCTTCCTTCTCAAGCACTCGTTCTTCCCCACCTCTCTGGGGCCAGGATGACAGGAACACAAGTTCATAGCTGTTGTAACAATCTGTCCCCTGTCCTGGGCCCCAAGACAGAGTCGCGTGCCTAACACCGCCTTTAATAACAACCTGGACTAACTTTTACAAATCCCGCTCCGTGCCAGGCCCTGTGTTAATAAGGCGCTCGGTGGCCAAACCTCACTGAACTCGCTCCACAACCCCAAGAGGTCGCTACTGTTATTAAGCCGCGTTGGAAGCGAAGTAAACTGAGGCTCGTGGAGATTAAGTCACTTGCCAAGGTCACCACACACCCAGCCCGGTGGGAAGGCGCGCAAAGCCCAAGTCACTGCTTCTCTCCCGGGACTCACGCCCCAGCCACCAACTTTGCCCGCACCTGCCCACCGCACCGCGCCGCCCCTCCCCTCCCCGATAGACACACTCACCTTGCTCCTCGACGCGCGGGCGCTGGCGGC